GGGGGGGGGGAACGGGGAGGAGGAAAGCAGGATCTGCCACAACGGATTAATCACTGGGATTTTTCAGCATAAAGATGACGATGGCAACGCTCCGCAATACTACACTGTAAGATAAATGATCACTGAGCAAGGACCGTACGGAGGGGTTCACAGCCTTCAACACCACCCCGAACACGCTCACGACACCACGCAAATAATCTCTTTTCTATGGCTGCAATGAAATTTGGAAGGCTTTTGGTGTAAATAGCCAAACCAGCTCTAACCCAGCATCACGCTTGTGCACGCCGCAGCGTATGGGACCTCCGACCCCTGTTGGCAGCGTGCATGAAGCCAGATCCTCACCACAAAGTGTTATTTTAAGCAAGACTTTTTTACATCCCTCCGACTCCTATGCGGGACCCCTGCTTAATTAATGCCTAAAAAATAATGCCTGCATGCAAATTATTTTCTGCGGCGTCGCAGAAAGCAGCCGACTTTTAACGACGCTTTCAAGACCAGCACGTTGCTGTTAACCAGCGAGCGTCTATCAAACCAGCAGTGATCCAAAGTGGGCGCCAAGGAAGGGTGCATTAAGTCAACCGGTCAATGTTGAACAAACAAAAAGCCGGGAAGTTAACTCCGGTAACTTAAAGAGCTTCTGGTGATTCGGAATAAAAATTAGAATAAAAGAAATTCAAATAAACCCTGATGTCTTCTGACGCCATGTGAACCTCATGACATTCAATGAGGGCAAAGTCCTCAGGTGAGGGCAATCCCCAGTATGAGTACCTTCTGGGGGACGAAATGATGGAGAACAGCCCTGCAGAGAAGAATTTTGGGATATTGGTGGGTGAAGAACTGGACATGAGCTGGTAATGTGCGCTGGCAGCCCAGAAAGCCCCCGGCATCCCGGGCTGCATCCCCAGCAGCGTGGCCAGCAGGGCGAGGGAGGGGATTGTGCCCCTCTGCTGCGCTCTGCTCTGGGGAGACCCCCCTGCAGTGCTGCCTCCAGCTCGGGGGCCTCAGCACAGGAGAGACATGGACCTGCTGGAGCGGGGCCAGAGGAGGCCACCAAGATGCTGCGAGGGCTGGAGCCCCTCTGCTGGGAGGACAGGCTGGGAGAGTTGGGGGGGGTCAGCCTGGGGAAAAGAAGGCTCCGCGCAGACCTCAGAGCCCCTTCCAGTGCCTAAAGGGGCTCCAGGAGAGCTGGGGAGGGACTCTGCATCAGGGAGGGGAGCCATGGGACGAGGGGGAACGGTTTGACACTGAAAGAGGCTGCCCCATCCCTGGAGGTGTTCAAGGCCAGGTTGGACGGGGCTTGGAGCAACCTGGTTTGTAGAAGATGTCCCTGCTCATGGCACAGGGGTTGGACTAGATGGCCTTTAATTGTTCCTTCCAACCCAAACTATTCTATGATTCAATGACCAGAGGAATTGCAGACACCCCTTGTTTTAGAGATGAGGCAAAAAGAGAGCGAAAAGACGGAAAGCCAATGGGTTTTCATCGCTGTTTCCCCATCCTGGGACTTTTTGGATCAGACTAAATTCTTCAGGTCTGTACCATCACATGGGTTTTTAAAGCTCTTTGCAAGGTTTAGCTCAAATTATAATTATTATTGCTCGCCAATACCACCAAAGTTGGAGCGTTTTGCTTCCGAGAACTGTATTTAGGAGTGCCAGATGGGAACAACAAAGGACAGACATGAAGACCCCTGTAGAACACTGCACAAATGCAATGAAATCCCAGTTACCATGAGGACTGGCCAACCCTCCGGCCAACTACAAGACCTCCTTGTACCCCAGGAGGCATGGACACAGCCAGCCTCTCACGGAGATGGCATCAACCACGTACCCAAACCAGCTCTTCCGCACCAGGGAAGGAATGAGAGCCGCAACCGCACATCCTCCCACAACGGCACCACCACGAGTTGACCCCTTCCCTCCGCCACTCCGACCTTATATTAAGCTGGGAATTTGTTGAATACATTATTAACTTATTTTTTTACCCCTGCGCAAGCTCTAGCTGCCACTAATCAACACAGAACCTCATCAAACTCCCGCCTGACATCGTTCCCCCCCCTGTTCACGCTTGCACGAGGAATAGAAGTCCCAAATTGTTGCGGTTTGCAGGCGTCCCCCCCCCTCTCCTCCTCACACAGGCAGACTGGCACCTGGTAAACTCTATTCCCCGGCGGTAATTGGATGGTGTATTCATGCCGGAGCAGCTCTTCTGAAAGTGCCTGCGTGCACGGCTCCAGCATTAACCACCTCCTGAAAGAGACTCTCCGAAGAGCTCAGTTTTCTATTATTACTTGCTAGCTGAGGGGTTTTGTGTAGATAATCATGTTATTTAGATAGGATGTTGGTTTAATTCCCTTCATTACAGGCTCCCAGGGTTGTAATTTTTTTTCTCCGCATGATGTATTCCCCGTGGCACATTTCACTCAAATCAAACACTTTACGCTTTTATTACAAACAATACCCCAGCGTCCCCCGTTATCAGCCCAGCGCACACATGCACACTCCTCGCAGAGATCCAGAGGTCAGTTCTAATGACTAATCGATCTCATTAGCTTTCCTAATTAAAAACTTTACTACCGCAATGGAAGACAAACTACAAAAAAACTGCTTGCATCATATTTGAATGGGATATGAGCATCATTTATCAGCCGGGGCTCGCAGCCCGCACCCAGCGCAACGGGCCGCGCGCTGCTGAGGTTGGTGCTTTCTTCGGAGCCGTGCATCCCCCGGGCACCGCTCGCATCGACCATGCCCACCGAAAAAATCCCGGTACAAACTCCAGCGTTGACCTTGAGATGGGCAATTTGTGGTCAAAACTTCTTGCCACGGCGCCCCGAGCAGACAGGATCTGGGAACCACCAGCGCATGCATCCCTTAAGGGAAGGGGATGAATGAAATAGAGAATCACAGAATGGTCAGGGTAGGAAGGGACCTTCAGAGATCATCAAATCCAACCCCCTGCTAGAGCAGGGTCACCTACAGCAGTTGCACAGGAACACATCCAGGTGGGTTTGGAACCTCTCCAGAGAAGGAGACTCCCCCGCCTCGCTGGGCAGCCGGTGTCAGTGCTCTGCCACCCTCACAGGAAAGAAGTTTTTCCTCATGTTGAGATGGAATTTTCCGTGTTCCAGTTTGTGTCCGTTGCCCCTTGTCCTGTCGCTGAACACCACTGAAAAGACTCTGGCCCCATCCTCTTGCCACCCGCCCTTTAGATATCGACATATTGATATATTATCTATTGATAGATACTGATATAGGGCCACGAAGATGCTGTGAGGGCTGGAGCACCTCTCCTGTGAGGAGAGGCTGAGAGAGTTGGGGCTGTTCAGCCTGGGGAAGAGAAGGCTCCGGGGAGACCTTATTGTGGCCTTCCAGTCCCTAAAGGGGGCCTACAGGAGAGCTGGGGAAGGACTTTTTACAAGGGCATGTAGTGATAGGACGAGGGGGAATGGCTTCGAACTGGAAGAGGGGAGATTTAGGTGAGATATTAGGAAAAAAATTTTCACTCTGAGGGTGGTGAGACACTGGAACAGGTTGCCCAGAGAAGCTGTGGCTGCCCCATCCCTGGAGGTGTTCAAGGCCAGGCTGGATGGGGCTTGGAGCAACCTGGGCTGGTGGGAGGTGCCCCTGCCCACATCAGGGGAGTTGGAACTGGATGATCTTCAAGTTCTCTTCCAACCTAAATCATTCTATGGTTCTATGATAAGCATTGAGGAGATCCCCTCTCAGCCTTCTGTTCTCCAGGCTGAACAGCCCAGGGGCTCTCAGCCTGTCCTCATCCGAGAGATGCTCCAGTGCCCTGAGAGTCTTCCTAGCCTCCTCTGGACCCTCTCCAGCAGTTCCCTGTCTTTCTTGACCTGGGGAGCCCAGCACTGGACACAGTTCTCCAGCTGTGGCCTCACCAGGGCAGAGCAGAGGGGGAGGAAAAGACGGTTAAGAGGATCCTTATTTCTGCTCTTGTTTTGCTATGAGAGGCACCGGGAACCGACCCCTGGAGAAGCTGAGCCAGGGAGGGCAAAACCA